CAGTTGGGTTAAGTGTGATTTTGGTGACATGATTTTTCCTGGTTTTGTAAAATGGGCTAAATTTCTGGAATTTGGTGGCTGGTGGCATGGAGTTTTGAATCTTCCCATAGTTTGTGTCCTTTCTGAGCAGCTCTGTTGTGATGGACTTGTGATTTAGAACAAAAGTGCCAGGGATCACACCACTACATTATAGTCCGAATGTTAGCAGCACAGCCAGGTTCTTCATAGTACGGATTCTAATAGTATGGCTGTTGCTTAATGCGGTTGAGGTTAACTTTATGCCTTGTGGGTTTCCAGGATCCGTAGCTCAGGGTTTGGTGTTTGCTTTCATCTCTCACTCAGCCTGTTCCCAGTTCTTTCAGTCAGAGACCAGAACTTTACATGACTTTCTTCTAGGTATCAGAACCCTCCGTGGAAGTTTTCAGGGTAGCCCCTTTTACAGTGATCTTTTTTTCTTCCCTTCTTTATTGTTTGAATTTTCAAGTTGTTAGTAAGGTCAGCATTATAAAGCAGATTTTTAAAAATCTATTTATTTTTATTGTTTTGTGACCAAAGCTGACACAGAACTCACTATCTAGTGAAGAATAATATCTGAACAATCTGTCTTCTCAAGTGTTGGGATAACAAATGTGCATCACCACATCGGATTTTACTTGGTGCTAGGGATCCATTTGAGCTACATTCCCAGCCCCTAGTTTGTTGATTATTGTTTCTGAGACAAGTCTTCCTATGTAGCCCAGGTTGGCATCAGTCTCCCCTCAGCCTGGCAAGTGCTTCAGAATGTGCTTAAGATGGCTGCTGTGTGTATGAAGTGTGTGTGGTGGTGTGCGTGCTTTCAGAGAGCCAGTGGAGGTCAGAAGGTGACTCTGTAGTGTTGGCTCTTATCTTCTACTCTTAACCTGGTTCTTAGCATTAATTTAGGACACCAGGCTTGCTTACAGGCGCCTTTACCCACTGAGCTGTCTCCACAGCGCTCAGATATTTTGGGTTTTGAGGTGTGACAAGGGATTTGCATGGTGATGACAGTTAATGCTTGAGTATTGAAAAGCATTATGTTTTAAATGGCAATTTGCAGAATTACTTCGGAGGTAGTGGGTGGAAAGCAGCAGTGACAAGTTTCTTTCAGCGCTGGTGGCATTTTGGCCCCCCTGATTGTCTGGTGGAGAGCTGCACTATGCATCAAAGGATGTTTAACATCATCTTTTCTCAGACACAGGATGCTTGTAGCACCCGCCTCCCGTTTGTCCATGTCTCCAGATGTGCCAGATGTCCCTGTCAAGTTACTCTGTTTGAGAGCCTGGTCTTGGGTGATAGCCAGAGGAGTGTGCTATATTGGAGGAACTATGCTCTTCAAAAACATCTTGTATGTGTTTGGACTGCTGGAGATTGAATGAATAGACATGAGCATGCCAGGCTTCCCTCTACCATTGAGCCCTTACCCCAGGCTTTAAAATTTTACTTCAAAATGACAGCTGTACATAACTGTTTTTCTTGTGCCTCTATGTAGTATGAAACTGTAATTTTTAAAGTTAAATTAAAAAAAATTCTAATGCCTGGATAGGAGTTTGAATTGTCTCATCCTTGCTGTCATGTTGAAAAAAGTGACAGATGACATTTGGGTCTGAGGAGGGCAGGTGCATAAAATTTTTCTAAGTGGCAGAACTATTGTTTGGCTGTCTAAGCGCTGCCAATATTGTATTTGGCGTAAGACACATTCTTAAATGGTGTTGCTGCTTTTGCTCTGGATAAGGGTGATATGTACCAGATTGTCTCTAAAACTTTGTCGAGAGAAAATGTTCCTTTAGTAACAGACGGAGTCAGGTGTGGGCTGCCCTTATTCTAAAGTTAACTTATTCTGATGTGAGCCCTCTACATAAATAAATGTTTTATCTTAAGACCACCTTTGCTTTTCCAGTGTTAGGTATCTACTTTTCGAAGAAAGGCCAGTGCTGTATCTGGGAACTTGATTGTCTTTTACAAGTCTCCTTGGAAGAGAGCAGTGATCCAGGAACAAGCATTGAGAAGTGGGGCTGAGAAGGGCTGTGTTCATGAAGTCTAAGAACTAGCTTGTGTTTGTCACTGCCCTTGGGCACCACTGTAAAGTGGATCTGTGACTGAGTCCTTGGAATTGTGTAATTTCAGGAACATTTAAACACGGTTCCCTTTGGAGGAGTTGGCCTTCTTTCTCCCTTGTGCTACACATGTGAACTTGACCTTGTTAGGTAGCCGAAAGGGTTTAGTGCTTGTGGCTCTGAGTGCTGTGTCACACCTCTTCGAGCCCTGTGCCTAAGCACCCTCCCGTAGGTGAGGACTCGGATGGGATAATGAACTTGATGTTACTGTGGCTCGAGAGGCAGAATGGGAGGTACACACTCAAGTGTTTGGAGCCTAGAGCATCTTGATGGCTGTGACCCATCTCTTGGTTCTTCAGTTTCACTACTTCAGAATATTTTGCTTTAAAAATTACGTAATTTTATTTATAAAAAAATATTTTGTTTGAAGCAAAAAGGCTTTCAAGTTTCTTAAGCCAAGGATGGATGAACCCAGTTACCTCTAGGTAACAGAAAACTGTTTTTTGCAGGGTTTGGAGAAAATAGGACAGGGTAGAATTGGGAGGTCTCTGGGGCCAGTTAGTCTATTGAATATTCCCATTAATTGTCATTACCCCAACTCTTCAGTTAAACCACATATAGCTACTTCACAGCTATGACAAAGTTCATGGTTATGTACGCTCAGTCCTTTTCAGTAGTGTATTATAATATGCTTTAGTTTTGTTTTTTTGATTTTTTTTTGTTGTTGTTATTAAAGTTGGCTTGGAATTTGTGTGTGTGTGGGGGGAATCTTTACAGTGTGTATACCCCGTACATGTTCTCTAGCACAGATTTGTTGCCAACTAAAATCCTGTCTCTGAGGTGCTTAGCCAGTGGTTCCATCCTGCGTGTTTGTAGAGTGGTAAGAGGGGTGTCATGCTGTGGTTGTCTGTTCCGCTCTGTGCAGTTTCCTTCCCTCTAATCAGTGCTGTGCCTAATGACCCGAGGCGGGCTTGTGTTCGCTTCACTGCTTCTTCGAAGCTGGACGTGGCTCGTGCTCGCCACGTAATGATAGTAATTGCTAGTAGGGCAGACCTGTTCTTCATCCTCCTCCAAGCACATTTCTTGTGGCAGGTGTCTCATTCCTAATTAAGTGCTAATGAGCATGCCTAGTGGACCGCGATGCTGCTGCCAGCTTCTTCGGTTTTATGTCTCACTGTTGCTGAGCTCTTAAAAGGTGACAGAGCAAGAATTAGTGTCTTTTGGATGACGGGAAGGTGATTTTACATGTAAAGAAACTGTGATTGTGATCTCAAGGGGAGAATGAGTAATTTATAAATAATTTCCAAGAATGCTATTAATGCTGTCTGCTTGGACCTCACCTGTTTTCCATTTTTCCCTCTAATTAAAACTAATTCTCTTAGGAAGGAGTGGCAGTTTGAAAAGACGGTGGACTCCTAAAGATTTTTAAGGGTACTGGGAATGGTTGAAAGTTTGCTGTAAAAACACTGGTTTTCAATGCTTAAGATGTTGCTTTTTGTTTATTCTTGAGGGTAGGAAGCACATCTGAAATGGAATTAAAAATGAATTTCTGGTGTGGGTGGAAGCTACTGAACTCATCTGTGTGTTCCAGTGAGGAGTAGGCAATAAGTAAACAAGCAATTCAGTCCTGAGAAGTGAACATGGGTTAGAATCTTAAGGATTTTCTAACACCCCACTTTAGACATTGAGATTTGACTCTTTTTTTACTGTCAAAACTGAATTCTATTTTGGACAGCTGAGACACAGATAGATGGTTCAGGGCCATTTCTTGTATATTTGCTTATTTTAAGTGTAATACATGAGAGCAAGAGTACAGTTTCCTATGAACAAGTTTGTAACTTCTGGAACTGGTTAGGTTGTGGAGGCAAAGTAAGCATTGGAAAAGGAACCTGGGAATGAGGGGGAGGCACTTGGCCCTCTAGATCTCTGCAGTCAGAAAATTCTTGGTCTCAGCCCTTTCTTCTGTAATGTAGAATAGTTTGTGGAGCTCGGTTTTAGGAAGGAGGTTTGGGTAAAAGGAATGGCTAAAAACTTGACTCCAGGGTTTCTTCCAGCAGCCAGAAGAGTAGTGTGGGGGCAGCTGTAGAGCTCACTGACATGTCCCTTCACCCTAGTGAACCTCAGCAACTTCCCCAGTGCCATGGAGCTTGAGTGCTTCTGAGAAGTGGGGATGCCATTGCTTCCTTACAGCTCTCAGAGGGCTTGGTGAGTTAAGGACACAAGCTCAGGGTACCTTCCAAATGCCAGTGCTTTCTGAGTTCTGGCTTTCACTCACGACATCATTGTGACAGTTAATGTTGGGTAAAATGTACTCATCTTCTAAACAGTGTGATTACTTCATTGTGGGATACTCAGCATGTCCCCTGATTAACTTCAGTCAACTTGGAATCAGTGTACAGCTTAGATTCAGTGACATATTGGAGTTCCTCCTTGGAGGCACTTAGATGAGATCCACACGTAAATCTTGTAAAGTAGCCAGACTTGTCTGATACTGGAGTTTCATTGTCCAGGTTGGTTACAACATAAAGTGGCAGGTGTAGACTCTAGGGTTAGATTGTGGGATTGGCTGGGGGTGAGTACTGAGGGGCAAAAGCTTTTGATGAGTTGAAAGCACTAACCTCATTTCCTCTTTCCTACCTGTCTCCATTCCCTTCTCTATGTCCAACTTCTGGTTCTTTCTTACATCTTCTGTTATTTTTAATTTTCCCTGGATGGTTTCTCTGTCACCACCACCACCACCTTCTTCTTTTCCTCTTCCTCCTGTTCCTTTTCTTCCTTTTCTTCCTCCTCCTCCACTTCTTCCTCCTCTTGTTTTTACTTCTCCTCCTCTTCCATCTCCTTCTCTTCCTCCTCCTCTTTTCTTTCCTCCCTTTGTTCTTCTTTTTCCTGCCCTCCTCTTCCTTCATCTTCTCCAACCACTGCCAACAGCAGCAGCAGTTACAAGCTCAGCATCTCTCTCATGGCCATGGACCCCCCGTACCTCTCACGCCTCACCCTTCAGGACTTCAGCCTCCTGGCATCCCGCCCCTTGGGGGCAGTGCCAGCCTTCTAGCACTGTCTAGTGCTCTGAGTGGGCAGTCTCACTTGGCAATAAAAGATGACAAGAAGCACCATGATGCAGAACGCCACAGAGGTGAGAGGCCGGGCAAGCCAGATTAGGCTTTGCACTCATACTCAGACAGTGCTGCAGAGCTGTGCCTCGCTGTGGAAAGCCCCAGCCCCACACAGAGAGCAAACAGTGAGATAACAGGAGCTGTCGAAAAGCTTTCCACTGACACTCAGTTCACCCTGCCACTCTTCAAGGTTTGCTGTGGGCAGCTGTGGGTTTTTCTGTCTTGCTAGCCTGCAGGCATCTTGACATCTTGGTAACTGCCTTTTTAATGCCAGTGGCCTGTACCATATTATGGAGAACTGTTAACTGCTTAATTGGGTAATTTTCAAAGAAAGTGATGTTTGTTAAATGGGGCGAAATAAGAAGTTAAATTTGAAAGTGAATGTGTTCAAATGAAAGGCTTGACAGTTGCATCTGTTACTAGTTTTGTAGGCTTTAATCCTAGTGTGCATTAAATATTGGGCAAATTGCACTTGACTAATTTTTTGAAGAAAAGTAATTTATTCTGTCAAGAAATTAAAAATAGGCTTTGTGTATGGTTAAACTGTAAATCTTATGTTTACAAAATACTGTAATTTTCAGGAAATCACTGTATTAGGAATGTGCAATGACTTATATAAATAAAGCCATTTTTAAAACTGCCTGGGGCCTGTGTTCTAATTATTCCCCCCTTTTTTTATTTCTGTTCTTGCCTCTGTGTCTGAACGGGCGTGTCTGTGCGTTTCTTGGTAACCTCGGGAGCAGACAGAGAGCCGGGCACGGTAAGTACCCCAGCGCCTGTTGCACATGAACACAGACCCAGTTACAGCACCAAGCTGCCTTCCTTCGAACACAAGCACCAAGCAGACACACAGACACCCCGTGTGTAGTGACCTGGGTTCCTTCTTGTTTTCTTTTTAAAAAATCATCTTATTTTTGTGAGTACCTGCCCTCTCGTCTCTTTCATAAACCTGGCCTTTGAGGAGAGGTGCCTGCTTTAAAAGTCAGATTGTTTGCTGGGACTCCTTACTGCTCAGTGGATAGCCCAGACCTGCTTCAGTGTGCTTTATATGTGGAGTCTAGCTTGCATGTAGTTAAAAGAATATTCACTTTTGTCTTAACATCACCCATATGTGATTAGTGTTATTGCCCATATGTGAATTAGTGTTATTTCTATCTAAACAGTTGGTTTTCCTCTGAATGCATCTTAGTTGCTGGTTTTCCATGTCTGTTTTTCTTCTCTCTCTTTTTTTTTCATATTTGTTGTTCAAGTATAAACTTGATCTTAAATTTCCTTTAGAACTAAGACTGCATCTAGTAGTAACTTCTTAAAAACATGGAGCTTCAAAGACAGGGCTGTGTGTTTATAGAGCTCACAAGCCTGAATCATACATACCCTTTCATGTGCTGAATGCTTACACTGTGCTTGCACATGCCAGTTAATGGTGGGGAGACATATTTTAAGGATGCAGAATGAGAACCTGCTCTGTTTAATGGGGATGGCCTACAGATTCTTCCTATTATATCCCCATTTTTAAACACAGTAATATGTTGACCATCTATAAAGCATGGTTAAAAAAAAAAAAAAGAAAACGGGACACCAAATTTTAAATAATTTCCTCCTTTTCTTTTTCTGTTCTTTCTTCCTTTTCTATCTGCTAAGAATTGAACCCAGGGTCTCATGCATGGAAGGAGATGTATATCGTGGATCTTGCTTCCAGTACTCTTCCCCCACGTGTGTGTGTGTGTCTGTGTGTGTGTGTGTGTGTGTGAGAGAGAGAGAGAGAGAGAGAGAGAGAGAGAGAGAGAGAGAGAGAGAGAGAGAGAGAAGGAGGGAGGGAGGGAGGGAGGGAGGGAGGGAGGGAGGGAGGGAGGGCAGGAAAATATGGGTCTCCGGAATTGAACTCAGGTTGTCAGGCTTGGTGGCAAGTGTCTTTATCTTCATACACACACACACACACACACACACACACTCAAAATCCTATGATCTGTGCCTCACATTGTAGCCCTTGGGTGCTGGGTCACAGGTGTGTGCCAACATCTTGAACTTTTTTGTTAGGAGTTTAGGAAGAAGATTGCACTTTGACAAGCTCAGGATCCCCTACCATGTTCCCATTTAGAATAGGTACTGCTTTAAAAGTTCTCTTTGAGATAGATACTGCTGTGCTTCTTGTATTGGGATTTGTCGAGGGGGATGGATAATTATTAAATGGAGAGGTAGTTAGGTTTTAAATTATTATAGCATAGGGTTTTCTAGGTAGTTTTAGGAGGAAGGGAAGAAAAGAAGACAGACAAAGCTTTAACTGGGAAATAAAATACCTGACAGACAAGAGTATAAGGTTGAGTAAATTGGCTTTGACTTATGAAGTGACCTTTATGGTTTACTAATTTGGTTTTATTGTAGACTGTCATCTTTTCTTCTATGTTCATTCAGTAGAGTACAACATTTTAAAACCCAAGTTTTGAACCTATACATTCAGCAGAAGATGTGAAGGGCTGTGCTGTGTGTGTTTCATCTGAATTCATTTTATTTGAGAGGGGACTTTTGTAATTTAATATTTCCTCTCTTATTACTATTTAACCTTAAGTGAATGCATTCATTAAGTGCTCCCTACACGTAAGGCATCTACAGTTAGGAGTATGTTGCTATGCAACAAAGGCATTTTGTCTGTCAAGGACAGGACAAGTAAGAGAAATGCTAAAAGACCAGCTGTGATGTCATAGTTCTGCAAGTGTTTCCATTGGCTCAGGACTCAGAAATGCTTTCTGCACAAACAGGTTTTCACATTGAAGCTGCTAGAGGTCTTTCCTGTATGTAATTTCTCCAGTGGCTACTTATAATTTTGGCTGAATGATGTATACAAGTACTTAATCATTGGAGGAGGTGAAGGTGTGGTAGGAGGGGATCAGTTGCATACTCCTTTTTAAATCTAGTTAGCATATAAAATAACAGGTTTTGTTATGGCCTTTTTAGACTTAGGTGTTTCTTTGTTCATATTTACTTGCCCCTTTGCCCTTCCTCCTGTCCTTCACTTCTTTGTTTCTTTCCTTTTTTCAAATAGCCCCTCCCTCTAGTTGGATCCTTAAAGGAGTATGAAACAGTTCTTGAATTTTAGGAAGCTATGAATTATTTTTAAGTGTGCATTAGAGTCTGAACTTCATAGAAATGTGGAGGACCCCAGGCACACACTAGTCTACAGAATAAACTAACATAAGTGATGGCTCGTGTCCTTTAATGTGTCAGATTTTTGACATGCTTGAAAGTATATGCATGTATGTCTACTGTTTTTCCTGCCTAATAATTGCACAATCTTGGGTGGTGAGATAAAATGGGGAAAAGTACACTAATTGTGGCCAAACATTAATTGAATCTGTAGAGGAGTTAAATTGTTCTGTTTACCTAAGTTAGTTTTTGATGCAGTTATATAAAGTTAAGTAGCTTTTCAACTTGGAGTAAAATTGAATATGAGAAGCAGTGGGTAATGAGATGTGTGTACTCTTAGTGCCTAAAATACTGTCGTATAATACTTGATAAAGCGTTTGGAGTTGTAAATCTGAGTTTATCTGAGTTTACTTTGCTCTTTGCTGCCGTCTTCCTTCACCAGAGAGATGAAGGTGGTTGCTACAGGCTGATGGTTTCAAACTGATCTCACTCAGTGTTTCTCCTTTTTAATTAAAATTACTGAGGACCCTTAAGGAATAGTTTCTCTTGGTGATATACTTTGACATTTACAAGATTAGAATAAAACTTAAAAACCATTTAGGTACAGAGCTACCCAGTTGTATTAGTTACTTTTTAATATTAATGAAAAAGCAGTATTTTCTTTGAAAAAGGCTTTTAATGGATGAATTTGCTTTTTTCATGTTTGCAAATATCTCTAGTGCTGACTTAAATGTTGCCAGGTTCTGATCAGCCTATATTCAGTCTGTGATACAGTTGCTTCCATTTGTCATTCTTGAAGAAAATTTGTCTGAAGAGATTGTGAGTCTCTGGTACCATCTTTTTTGCCTGAGGCAGGGAGAGGTCTTCAGTCAAACTCAGACAACCTGAGCCATTAGTACACTGACTCCTTACTGTTATTTTTTCCAATTCTTTTATATTAATATTTTTAAATCAAATGCAAAAAACGGGCATATGCAGAGGAAATGGGGTGTGGCTTCAGCTGTTTGGTAGGTGCTTAATCTTTATCTTCCAATGATAGTATTACTCAGTTTGTTCGTTTATGCTTTTAGGTTAGAAAACAAATGAACCTTAACATAGGCAGTATGTTTTAATGTAAAAACATAAAAAATAATGTTCTATGAACAGAGTGTTCCCAGTGGATGAGCCAGAAGGTAATAACCGCGAAGGGCTTGTAGCATATCTACAGGACTTTTCCTGATTGTCACTGTTAGTTTTGTTTTACATTTGACCTGTAATTCTCAAAATCTGTTCTTTGCCTGCCTGATTTTTTTCTTTTAATTATCTTATATGCAGATGTTTGTGAGTACAGTTGTGCCATGGTGCACATGGAGAGGTCAGAGGACAGTTTGTAGGACCTTGTAGGAGTGGGTTCTCTCCACCAAGTGGGTCCAGGGATCAAACTTGGGTCATTAGTCTTACCAGTAAGCTCTACTTTCTGAGCCAACTTTCCAGCCTCTTCCTTTTATTAGACACAAGGCCTCACTCTCTAGTCCAGGCCCATCTTAGACTCATGTCAGTTTTCCTGCCTCTACCTTCTAAGTGTTGGGATTATAGGCAGGAGTCCATCATTCCTGTTTGTTGTTGTTTTGCTTTTTAATTTATAAGCTTTTATACATAAGTGCAGCTATTGAACAAATAATACTGAAGGAAGGCCATACTCAGCATATGAGTGTTTGCTTACATGTATCTGCATCACATGCATATCTCTTATCTGTCAAGACCAGAGGAAGGCATAGATCCATTGGAACTGACAGTTGTTAGGCACTGTGTGGGCCTTAGGAACTAAACATGGATCCTCTGCAAGAGCAGCAAGTGTTCTTAACTGCTAAGCTATTAGTAGTGTGTGTATATTATATTAATATTGCTAAGCTAAGCTATTAATAATGTGTGTATATATATATATATTACATATTGTACAAATGTTTCAGTTGGTTTAAAGGTGACTTGAATTAAATTTTGACTCAAAAGAGTATCAAACACATCTACTTGAAATACTTGGCATTGGAGGACCAAGAAATAATTATGTCTTTAAAAAGAAATGGTGTAACAGTCTAGATGTGATAAGTGCACACCTGTAATATAATCCCTGTACGTGTGGGTACTTCTCCCCTTTAAAATACAAGCAGGAGAGCCATGGGTAAAGGTGTTTCATGACCTGAGCTCAGTCTCTGGAACCCATGTGGTAGAAAGAGAGAATTGTCTTCTGCAAGTTGTCCTCTGACCTTTACATGCATCAGATCTGTGGTGGTTGTATTCCCCTACCCTAAGGATACATACGCATACTCAGAAAACAAAAATATTTTAAAAATTCAAAGTACAAATTGTGCAATGCAGTTGTGTATGTGAGGGTCCATCTGCCTGGATGGCAGTGTGTCATCCATGGAGCTGGTTCATCCATGGAGCTGGTCCAACCAAGCAGGCATGTTCAGTACAGTACATTCAGCTTTGTTGAAAGTAAATAAGGATAGCAAGGCCTCTTTTGCCTGACTATTTACAAACTAAATTTTGACTGGATTTGTGAAGAGATGGCTTGGAAATACAGGCTAAAATGGAAATGACGCCTGTAAAATGTTGACTTTCAGGCACAGTAGGAAATGT